TTCTTTGGAGTTGGTTACTTACTGACAGTATATCGTGTTTCTTTGGTGCTACCGCATGTCCCTGATCCTTCATGATACTTGTAGTCTTGTGTAAGTGTGTGAGTATTTGAAGAAACAATCAATCACCTTTTCCAGACTTTATGAACTGGATTCATTAAGGAAAATCCTTCACCTATGGGTAGGTGAGGGTGGGGAAGGGTAATGCTGGACAGCACTGTGGCACCATGCTTAGTGCCTAGTGTATGGTGGCTCCATGTCTTGGAGAGGGATGCAATGTTTTATCAGTTCAGGAGCTGAGGTCTGTAACATTTGCAACTGTGTGTACCTTGGTGTGGCAAAGGCTGTGGGAGGTCCACAGTGTCTGACAGGACTGTAGGTATATTCAGTGGTGCCCTGGGTCCAGTGACAAAGGACTGGTGCACCCAGCAGGGGGAGTCAGGGCCATTGGTGTGTTCATACTCAGTTGTGGACATGCACATAATGGTTAGGGCTGGGGCAGAGCCACCTGTGGTTATATGGTGGCTGATGGCATGTACATATATGACTATAGCAGTCAAGGCTCATGGTATACATGTGTGCAACTGTAAGGACCAGCTGCAGGCACGCATGTGGTGGTGGGGGTCACCAATAGGAGTTAGGCCAGCTACATATGCATTTGCAGCTATGGGGATCAAGCTGGAAGTGTACATGTATGCAGCTGCAGCAGTGAGCTGCAGGTACAAGCACAGTGGTGGGAGCCAGGGACAAAAGTTGGGGTTTGCACATGTACAGCTGTAGGAGCCAGGGCTGGTGGTAAGAATGCATGTAGGCACAGAAGCCAGATACAGACATATTTTCAGCTGTTAGACTTGATGATGGGAGTTGGGGCCAGCTGCTCAGGTACACACAGCCAAGGGGTTAGTCACAGGTACACACGTGGTTGTGACAGATGGATATTTGGCTGGAGCCCAGGCCATTTTGGGGCATATGTGTAGTGGCTTCCCTGGGTTCCTGGGTTGGGGTGTCTATAATGGCAGTGCTAGGGAAGCTCTGGGGAGAGGGGAAGAAGAGAGGTGGTAACTCAAGCGCGTAGAAACTGCAAAAGTGAAAAACTGTGGGGTCCTCAGCAAAAATTGTGAGGGGCCCCTGTGACTGTACTGGTTGTTGGTTTCCTTAGTGGCAGAAGCTGCTGAGTTCCATAATAGTAAACATTATGGGCTCCTTGCCAGTGAAAACCAGTCAGGGGTGTGTGGTGGCTGTGAGGCTGTCAAGATCCTGAGGGTAGAAGACAGCTGGGGTCCTAAGCAGAGCAGCCACTGGGTACCCTGGTGGCTCCTGCGACATGGCTGATACTGATAGCGTCATGCTTCTTTGTTCCCAGATGTCTCCAAATGTCTCAGTCACGCTGATCTCCCCAGCTATTTGGGGTGGGGTGAAACTGAAAGAGGTCATTTGGGGGAGTGTCCCGAAATCTCAGGAAACTGGTTGTTCATCCCATTATGTTTTCTCTTCAAGGGTAACTTTTGAGCTAAGGAGTTCTCTCTCTGTGCTAAGCAATACTGGTCTGGGGGATGAGCTGATGCATGCAAGATGAAACTGTTCTTCCTACTCTTTTTGCGCAATTATTCTCATCGTTTTTCTTAGACTGTGTTGCTGTATCTTCTCAGCTGGACTCCTGAGCTCTCCTACAGCTATTTTCTTTGATAGATAGCTGTCCGATTGTACTTTGTGGGGGAATGAAGGTTGGGATCTCCTTCTCTGCCTTTTTGCTGACATTGTCCCATACTTTGTGTTTGCAAACTTAAACACCACTGCCACGCACCCTGTAAGTTATCATCAAGGAGGTGTGATCTGATGGAAAGGCCTTGGGGCTCACACTTAGGAGACCTGGGTTGAGTCCTAGCTCTATCACCACTGTGACAGTGTTATTAGGCTATTTCTTTATGTTTTAGGATTCAATTTTGAGGACCCAAGCTCTGCTTATCTCAGAAAAACTAGCTAGCAGATGAGGCCATCTCAAATAGATCCAGAACTTTCCAAGAGGAAGGTGATGTGATGAACTCATAGTTACCTGCTCATAATTTAAGCCTAGTAAAGAAATCTCATGTCCCAATCACCCAGGTAAATATTTAATAATTGTGGCACCATTAATTGAGTGCTCTCTGTATGTCAGATACCCTGCAGCAAACATTATCCCCACACACTTCTTCTCCTTGAGTACTCACAACCCCACAATGAGGTAAGGACTGATAATGCCATAATTTCATGGGGAGGAATTCAAAGGGAGGGAGTCTGAAGGCCTCTGGCAGGAAGAGGGTGAGTCTCTGGTTAAAGCCAGGTCAGGCTGACCCCACACTGTGTCTTCTATTCTCCCTGCTGCTATTCTTTACCCCACAGGCAAACAGCCTGGAAGGTTGGAGGGGACAGGAGACATCTATCTGAAGCCATGGGGTAGGGGAAACCTAGGCCTCGATGAGCAGGCTCTAAATTCAGCAGCACTTTCCTTATGAGCATGCAAAATGCTTCTTCAAGGAGCCAGAAAGGTCGCTCAGAGAAACTGATGGATAAGGGCCAATTGGGAAGCTCATTAGAATGGGAGCCGTCTCTGTGTCTGCCCCTTGGTCCTGCTTCATTACCTGGAGGACTGCTTCTGTATACCTTGCTATCAGGGGCCCACACTCCCTGAAAGTGCCCATTCTCCTCTTCATCTTAGATTGTAAACCAGCATCAGAGGCACAAACCTGGCAAAGGCCCATTACTCACTTTTAATGAGACAGCCAGGGAAATAAATTGGCATATGTTAGCAAAATGGCTCATCAAGGTGAGTAATTATCTTCATGACTGGGGCAGTTTACCCTCCAAAGAAAGAATTTGCATCTCATCTCTCACTGAGCCATGGCTCTTCAGAACTAGGGCAGGAGGCCAAGTAGAGTTTGACCACTGAGCACAGACACCTCCACTTGTCTAGTCTTGCTATTCACCATCGACTTGTCACTCCCCAAATTCCAAAGCTTTTATGGGATACGCTGTACAACTGATTATATAGAAAAAGAAACCCAGAGGAGACAAATACAAAGAAGTTGTTCTATATTTTATGGAGTGGTGTGTGCACATGTGTGCCTCTGTGGTGGGGACAGGCTAGCCATTTCACAGAGCCTGTGGGAGAAACTATCAGGGAATGGTTCTGACAGGCTCTACTAATTAAAATTACCTTTTTCTTAGTTTTGAGCCAAACTTTAATTAAAGTCTATATTTCCTTCTTTACTTGCTTGTGCATTGACATTGTGGCCTGTACAATTATCTCATGGTGTCCAGGTATGTAACTGTCTTTTCCCCATGTTTTAGCATTTTAGAGGGAAATTATCTTATTTTTTCTGTCTTATGAATATTAGTTCTGTCTTCCCAGACTGATCCTAAGCTACTTAAAGACAAGGATGAGAGGGTCTCCTTGGCTTCTAGCCCCTATGGCATCTGCTACAGTCGCAGGGTGCAGAAGACAGTGCCATAGAGTAAGTTTCTACCTGGTCTCAACATCAAGAAGTGTTGGGTTTCTCCTGAAGGTGTACAAGCAGGTGGCTGAGGCTATTTTCCTCCAGACATTGGCTATCAGGAGGTACAGAGCTAATTTGTTGACCAACCCTGGTTCATGGCATGCTTTGTGCATCAACTTCACTCTTGCTGCCACTGGATTTTCTATTTTTTCCCACTAGATGATGAGCTGTATGTGGACAGGCCCATGTCTATTTTGAGTTCCACTCTATCTCCTTTCCAGTGTTCAGCACTATGCCTGGCACTCAATAAATAATTACAGAGTAAATGGAGTTTGAATTTGGCAACTTTTGCGTCTTTGTGTGCTACTTAAATCTTATTGGAAACCAAGTAGGAAGAACATACAAACACCCATAAACTCACACTAATAATTAAACAATGTACTTGGCAAATAATTATACTTGATTTTAGGTATTGAAGGTGTTGGAATTTACAGTTAAAGTGGGCTGAGTTTGTTGGGCCTCTGGTTGTGGTGTTTATACTACAATGAGTTTTCTATTCATGGTGATGGGGAAATGTCCAAATGGCTTTATAGGAATGCTTTCAGTCTTGCTCAGTCTGGACTTGCATTATCGTGGGAGGGTTCTTTCATTCTTCATTCTCAATGGGGTTGAAATTCTCAAAAAGGACATTGGCAAGAGCTTTATAAAATCCTAAATGAGGCTGGGCATGGTGGCTCACATCTGTAATCCCAGCACTTTGGGAGGCCAAGGTGGGTGGATCACGTGAGGTCAGGAGTTCGAAACTGGCTGACCAACATGGTGAAACCCCATCTCTACTAAAAATACAAAATTAGTTGAGCATGGTGGTGCACGCTTGTAATCCCAGCTCCTCAGGAGGCTGAGGCAGCAGAATCACTTGAACCCAGGAGGTGGAGGTTGCAGTGAGTGAAGATCACAACATTGTACTTGGGCAACAAGATCATGACATTTTACTTGAAGTGACACTGTCGCTTGGGCGACAAGAGCCAAACTGCATCTCAAAAAAAAAAAAAAAAAAAAAAAATCCTGAATGAATCTATGGTTTAGAAGGTACTTCAAAAGTCCCACGTCCTCTGTTAGCATCTCTTCATCTGGGGGCAATAGGGCTGGTATTACGACTTATTACATAGGAAAGAGACCCAGATATGGCCAAACTGATGGCGTGACTCACTTCTGGATGACAACTGGAAAATTTGACCAGGAAACCAACCATCTCCAGTATCCAGATGTGTGGCACTGTGAGTTGTACAGACTACATTGAGTGAACAGGTTTCTGAGGTTTCCTGAGGGTGTTTTAGATATGGCAGGGCTGCTAATCAGATAAGGCCATTCCCTCAAGCACGGGACTGAGTTCTGGGTTATGGAGCTTAGACCAAACATGGCAAGGGAGGCATAATTTGCCAAGCACATTCAGAGCCCTTTTTGGGCCTTCAGAGTGGAGGTGGTGGATTTGTTTTCCTGATCCCACGGGGGTCCTCTGCCGACACTCACCATTTCTGTCGATGGCAAAAGGCACATCTGTGGTGACGATTTCATAGTTGCAGATCTGGCTGTACTGGGGGGAGCAGTCCTCATCAACAGCCTCCACCTGCAGAATGCTGTCATAGATCTTGCCCTCCGTCACAACAGCCTTGTAGGCTGGCTCTTTGAAGGTGGGAGCAAACTCATTGACATCCTTCACCTGGATATGGACCACGGCCCTGGGACCACACACAGAAAGGAAGAGATGGTGGTAAAGAAAGAGTCATACCAACCTCCTGCACCTCCTGGGGGCACTGACTGAGGTCCCAAGGCCAAGTGAAAGGAGAAACCACCAGCTGGTTGAGGCAGTTGTCTGAGTGTCCCATTCTCCCTCTCACTGGAGACTCTCTACTTGCCCTTGCTCTGATGCTGTGAGATGAATCCATCCCAGAGAGACTTTTATGCCCTTCCTTCTGCCCCAGCTTTAGGCAACAGGTTTACTGTTCATTCCTCCCTCTATTCATCCACTCCTTCATTCAGTAAGAATTTAAACCCTCTTACTCTGTTAGGCTCTGAGATGAACTTCATAAGGGAGAAAGCAGTGACAACCACAGTGAAAAGTGCTGTGACAGAGAGCAGCTTCTGGCACTGCAGAGGCCCAGGGAAAGGTCCTGACCAGGTCTGCGGGGGTGGGCCGGCTTAGGGAAGGCTTTCTGGAAGAAGTGACACCTAAACTCAGACCTGAGAGTGAAACAGGAATATCTTCCAGTGAAGAAGAGGGAGTAGAATATTCCAGGTGTAGAAAGCAGACTGTGAAGATGCCTCCATGGGACCAGGAAACTGGGAAACAGTTGAGCAAAGTTGGAGCACCATGGTGTGACAAGGGGGTAAACATATCTGAAGAGCAGTATGTGAATGAAGTGGGGTGGGGAGGGGAAGGAGGGGCGTCCAGAGGGCTCTGTCAGGCCACTCACTTGTGTGACTTTTTCCAGGCCGTCTCGCGGGGCCCAGCACCACAGTCATAAGCCTGGATGATGAATGTGTACTCCTTCTGCAACTCACAGTCAATGGGGCTCCTGGCACGGAGCCGGCCCTCTCCTGATGTCTTGTTGAGCACCACAGCCTCAAAGGGCAGCTCCTGGCCATGGATCTTGAATGCACAGATTTCCCCTGCAGAAGAATGGAAAACAGTGAGTGGGAATACTGAGAACAGCCAGATTGAAGACAGTGCTTCCATTGGACCAGATTCACAAACTCAAACCCTCCATGCAATTTCTTCCATGTACATACTATGGTCCCTGAGCTAGCACCATCAGCATCGCCTGGGATCTTCTCAAAAATACAGAATCCCAGGCCCCACCCAGACCTCCTGAACTGGATCTGCATTTTAACAGGATCCTCAAGTGATGGGTTTGCTCACTAATGCGTGAGCAGTACTGCTTTTCTCTTTCCTTTACTCCTGGTTTAAACACTGCCTACATTACTGCAGCGAAATTCCCTCTACCTCCCCAACTTCTCCATTTTCTATCTCCAGCTACCATTTCCCCTTCCAAGCTACAGTTTTCTCTTTTGAAACAGTGGGAGTGAGTCTATGTGAGTTCCAGAGCCCCTGTGGAGCCTGAAAAGCTAACATCTTATAGAGCTGAACATGTTGTGAAATTAATGCATTTCTCTCCTTCAGCTGGGTTAATGTTTATTGTAACTATTTCTATGCATTAAAATTATAATGCCATGAGAATATCTCTTTTTTCTCAATCAATGCATGTTTATTTATTAAACCCCAACTGCATGCAAGACCTGTAGTAAATGTCTTGAGAAGTGCTGAAAATTTGAGACATGTCCTCTTTCCCTATTGAGAAAATGTACAGACTTATTAGAGAAGAGTTCAGCTATACACTTCAAGGCAGCAAAACAGAGGCCAAGAGCCCAGAGGCCTAGATTCACATTCCAGGATTGCCACTTACTAGCTGATTGGCTTAAATCAAATGATACTGACTGTCTGGGCCTCTACTGTGTCATCTGTTAGATGGTCCTAGAGATGGTGGCGGGGTGGGGGGCATCTACCCTAAGATGCTCCAGCCCTGGTCTGACACTGCCTCAGCTGCACTGCTGAGGCCAGGGAGGGGCAAGCAGGGTACCTAGGGTGCATCATTTAATGAGGCTTTGCTCTCAGGGTAACTCAGGCACCTTCTTGCCTTACCCTAGTCCAGGTCCTGCCCAACTATTCATAAGAGCTGACCCAATGAAGAGAAGGGACGAGATGATTGCATGTTTGCTCTGCACCAGGCACCAAGCTTTGTACCCCTTCCCAGAGAACCTCATTTGACCTTCATAAGAAACCTGCAAGTATTTTATATCAATTTATTCAAAATTTTTAAAAAGGAAGAGAAAAATCAGAAAGGTTAAATATTTGCTCAGTGTCATAGAGCTAAAGTTAAGTATGAAACCTAGGTATGGCTGATTCCTAAGTCCATGTACTCTACCCCACCACACCATCTCCAAACAGCCCCATAACTTCTAAGGAACCACCCCATGGATTGCCTGAAGAAACTGTCTATATTCCAGTTCAAGTCTCATTCAGGAAAGAAATCCTCTGATTTACATATAGGAATCATGCCATGATCTCTTACTAACAATGTTTTCCAAGATGTTCAATCAATACTAATCTTACCTTTATGCTTTTCAAAAAAAATTTCATTGATCCTCAATTTAATTATTAACATTCCCTTTTCACTACTACCTCCATCTCCCATCCCCCTGCCACCACCCTTCCTAGCCATTTCTCAATGTACTTGTGGAATAAATGGACAAAACAGGTTATGGACCCAGTTCCATTAAGACGGCTAGTTCCCATTCACTTCTGTTTTTTGGGATCACTTGGCATTTCTGTACTGCGCATTCTGACACGTTCTGCAGCCTCTGGGGCAGGAGAATAGGGTTTCTCAAATTCTCAAGTTTAATTTCTTCTCTAAATTAGCAGGCTGAAGAGATGAACCTCTAAAGTACTCGTCTTGTGATTCTCTCCCAAGATCAATGCCAATATGAGAATATTATCAACAAATGTGTCTAGACTGTTTCTGGGGCATTCTCTGGAGTGCCCAACCACTGCCATGGTTATAAGCTAATCAGACCATTTATCTTTGAAGACACAAGTTAAACCTAGAATAGATGAGTGTAATCTTCTCTTGGAAAGATCTGATCACAACTAAAGTAGTTTTCAAGATGCAGAAATCCTTAACAACAGAAAAGGAGAGGAGAGAGGGAAAGAAGACAGAGGAGAGGAAAGAGGAGATACAAAGGGAAGACAAGATAAAGTTTAGGTGACATATTTCCATCTACGGAACAATTCAATTCAATAGAACTAATTTTTCTGAGAGCTAAGTCTTAGGCACTGTGCTAGGCCTGGGGACACAAAGACTAACATACCTTAAAATATAAGGCTGCTTTATCCTAAAGTACTTCTTACCTAGTAGAAATGACAGACAAGTAAAAAGGACAATCAAGACCCACTTCGTTTTCATCAAAACCTAGAACAGAACCTAACATTCATGCCCCTCTCATTTATCCCACCTCTTCACCTGACACTTGTGTTCTGGTTGCAAAAACATTCATTCATTTATTCATCCACCTCATAAATATTGATTCTTCTCATAAATATTTTTAGGCATTATGTGCCAAGCACTGGTAAAGCAATAACAAACAAAAATAGACCCAGCCCTGGCCTGTAAGCTGCTTGCAGTCTGGTAGGAAGGGAAATAAGCAGTCAAATAATCAGTTCCTGAAAGAAGGATGGTGGTTGTGATGAATACATTGAAGGAGAGTTACGTGGTACTAAAAGCATTCTGACCTGGTCAGTCAAGGCAGGGAGGGTCTCCCTAAGAATGTGGTGGCTTAGGACGCTTCAGCAGAAAGGAACATGGTGAGTCCAAGCGACTGCAGGTCCAGTGTGGCAGGAGTGGAGGCCATGGGGCGGGGCCAGCTTCACAGGCATGTGACCTAAGAGCCACCCAGCGTCCTGTGCTCAGAAGCATCCTAAACTTGGTTTTAATCTCTGCTGTCTCTGTCGTGATTTTTTTTTTCTTTTTTTTCTTGAGACGGAGTCTCGTTCTGTCGCCCAGGCTGGAGTGCAGTGGCGCTATCTCGGCTCACTGCAAGCTCCGCCTCCCGGGTTCACGTCATTCTCCTGCCTCAGCCCCCCGAGTAGCTGGGACCACAGGCACCCACCACTGCGCCCGGCTAATTTTTTGTATTTTTTTATTTTATTTTTTTAGTAGCGATGGGGTTTCACCGTGGTCTCGATCTCATGACCTTGTGATCCGCGCGCCTCAGCCTCCCAAAATGCTGGGATTACAGGCGTGAGCCACCGCGCCCGGCCCGATTTTTTTTTTTTTTTTTTTTTTAAAGACGGTCTTGCTTTGTCACCCAGGCTGGAATGCAGTGGTGTGATCATAGCTGACTGCAGCCTCAAACTCCTGAGCTCAAGCAATCCTTTCAACTTAACCTCCTGAGCGGCTGGGGCTACAGGTGTGTGCTACCGACAATCAGCTAAGTTTTTTATTTTGCAGAGATGGGGGTCTCATTATGTTGCCCAAGCTGGTCTTGAACTCCTGGCCTCAAGCCATTTTCCTGTCTTGGCCTCACAAAGTTCTGGGATTACAGGTGTGAGCCAATGTGCTCAGCCTTGAAGTTCTTAATAATTTTATCTTAACCTCTGTTTTGTGAATAAAGTGTGATGGGACAATGGAGCATGTTATGAGCGGAGGAGAAGGCTGCAATATGCATGTCCACCACGTCTTGCTGCTCCATTTGCATACAGCATTCAGAATTCCCATGGACCCACAACGTGTGGGACGTCAGTGGGACTCAGAGTGAGGACAAGGTAATCATGTTATGTCTTCAACTGAGTAAGTAGGAAACTGACCTCCCCAAGAGGCCACACTTTCCCTTTGATCCAGAACTTGTTTCAAATGCAAAAAGAGAGAATGGAAAACTAAGAAATGTGAACAACCAAGAAACCCTGTTGTAGCCTTCCTTATTCATATTACATCCTGTATTAGCCAATCACTTACACTGAAAATGATGGTGGAGAGGAAAAGGGAAGATCAGACGACCCACTGCTTTTTTTTTTTTTCAGGGTGCCCTTGCTATCAGTAACCGAAAGGTATAGAGTAATATTCACATGAACATAAAGATGGGGAATAGACACTGGAGAATACAAACAGGTGGAGGCAGGCAGGGAGGCAGGGGCAGGAAAACTACCTATTGGGTACTACGCTCACTTTCTTGGTGACGGGATCAATCATACTCCAAACTCTAGTACCAAGCAATATACCTTTGTAACAAACCTGAATATGTACCCACGGAATCTAAAATAAAAGTTGAAAAAGAAAAAAAGGAAGTGAAATTAAAACAGTTGAGTTTGTTTTGTGTAGTATTTATACTGTTGTGATAAGAATTAAATACATATGTATACATGAACTATAAAATACAAATTCTGTAATTTTGGTATTCTGCATGCCAGCTAAATGCTCCTATATTTGTATTTTAAAATGGGCATTGCATAATAGAAAAGGTAAAATTCAAGCTAATAATTTCAAGTTTTAAATATATCTTTACTTAGAACTATACTAAACAGAAGATTTAAAATATCATGTCAAGTTGAAACAGACTTCTGGAAGAAAGGTCCCAGGATGAAATTCTAGATAGAAAGATATTTAAAAAAACAGTTCTCAGTGTCAGTGTAAGACACATTAGGCTGTCTTGTGTCTTTTTTTTTTTTTTTTTGAGACGGAGTCTCGCTCTGTCACCCAGGCTGGAGTGCAGTGGCTGGATCTCAGCTCACTGCAAGCTCCGCCCCCCGGGTTCCCGCCATTCTCCCGCCTCAGCCTCCCGAGTAGCTGGGACTACAGGCGCGCCCTGCGCCCGGCTAGTTTTTGTATATTTTAGTAGAGACGGGGTTTCACCGTGTTGGCCAGGATGGTCTCGATCTCTTGACCTCGTGATCCGCCCGTCTCGGCCTCCCAAAGTGCTGGGATTACAGGCTTCCAGGCACGCGCCCGGCCCCTGTCTGTGTCTCTTATATAGAACTTTTTTGTGAGGCCCTGTCTTGTGTCTTATATAAGAACTTTTTTTGTGAGGCCTGTCACTAGAATTTGTTATTATACTAATAG